GGGGGACAGGAGCAAGGCGGCCCAGGCGGCGGGGGCCCTGCTGCCTGGGCGGCTTTGCTCCCGGGCAAACGAGCAAAGCCGCCCAGGTGGCGGCTTTGCTCGGGTGTCCCTGGTCTGCTGGGGAGATCCAGCAGCTTTGCTGGACCCCCCCCCCCAGCAGACCAGGGAGACTGGGAGAAGCTTTTCTCGCCCCGGAGGACGCGGGTGGCGACCCGCCGCCCGTGAGCTCCGGGGCGAGAAAAGCCCCGTTCGTAAGTGCGGATACGACGTAAGTCAGATCCGCGTAAGTCGGGGACTGCCTGTAACTATTTTTAACATTCTGAACAAAAATATAGATTTTTTTTCTCTTGATCAAGCCTGCTGACTGTGTTGATGAACAACATAATCTACTATATATGGCTACGTCTAGACTGCAAGCTTCTTTCGAAAGAAATTTTTTGGGGAGAGATTTTCCAAAAGAACTTCTTTCGAAAGAGAGCATCTACACACAAAAGCACATCAAAAAAGCGAATTGCTTTTTTGAAAGATAGCGTCCAGACTGATTGGATGCTCTCTCATATAAAAGGCCACCCAGAACCACTTCAGCCAGGTCTTTAAGTCACCAGTTGCTTTCGAGTACTGGTGCTAGAGCCTTGCAGAGACATGTACTAAAATGGACACACACACACCCCGCCAGACAGCCATTTCTGAGCTTCTGCTGCATGCTTGCTACCTCTTCGAGGAATAGCAAAGCTCTTTCAGTGCCTGCTGTGGTTGCCCCACTTTTTTGGATGCCACAGCTTTTCTATTGGTGCCAAGGAGCCAGAGCTGCCTCTGGGCATGCGATGGCCCCACAAGGCCATGTTTCAGTTTTTGCAGCACTTTGTGCCAGCTGTCTTTCTGGGTCTGCATGAGCTTGACCCCAAGCTCATTTTTGGGAACCTCTCCCTGGGTGCGGGAGCTACACTCTGGCAACAACACCCCACAGTGGAGAGGCATTTCTGGAGGCTCTATACCAGTTCAGATTGGTGGGTCGGTCTTGTCATAGATCATTGGGACAATGAGAAGTGGCTCCAAAACTTCCGCATGCGGAAGGCCACCTTTTTGGAACCATATGCCTGGATTGCCACCACCATCCAGAGACGCGACACCCACCTGCAGCCTGCCATCCCCCTGGAGAAGCAGGAGCTCGCCACCCCAGACAGCTACTGGTCAGTGGGCGACTAGTTTGGTGTGGGGAAGTCCACCGTTGGGGCCCTCTTCATGGAGATAAATCACTCTGGGGCTGCATTCGCTGCAGGTGGGGGGAGTCCTGGAAAAGTGGGTCCCTAGGGAAAGGGGGTTTGGGAACTATGGGTGTGAAGGGTTGTGCTGGTCTGTCCTCACACAGCCCTGCTTCTGGGGGGGTGGCCTCACAGAGGTTAGCTCCTGGGGTGTTTGGGCGAGGGGAGTGGAGAAGAGGGGGACGGCAACCTCTCAATGGTTCAGACGCTCCCTCTCTCATTCTCTCTTTTGGGCATTTGTTTGTCTCCTTCTGCAGGTTGAGAGGGCCACCAACTCGCTCCTGCTGTGGAGGGTCATCCACCTGGGAGACCTAGACCAATCATTCTCTCTTTTGGGCATTTGTTTGTCTCCTTCTGCAGGTTGAGAGGGCCACCAACTCGCTCCTGCTGTGGAGGGTCATCCACCTGGGAGACCTAGACCAAATCATGGCCAGATTTGCTGCTCTGGGGTTCCTGAACTATGCTACAGCCATAGATGGGACCAACATACCAATCCACGCACTGGAGCATCGAGCAGCCCAGTATATTAATCAGAGGGCTAATTCTCCATGGTGCTACAGGCCTTGGTCAACCACCATGGATACTTCAGAGACATTTTAGTCTGGTGGTCGGGCAGCGCACATGATGCCCATGTATTTTGGAGCTCTAGAAGCTGGAAGTGGGCACATTTTTCCCCCACCGTGAACTAGCAGTAGGGGATATGCAGATACCATTGTGTATTGTGGGGTTGTGGCTTACTCCTGATGCTTATGGAGCCTTATACATTGTGGAGAGGAAGGGGGAGGCCTTCCTCCCATGGTGGGGGGGGG